TCTCTTGATGTTTTTTTCTATAGAGTTTGGGTGGGGAAAAATATAACGTGTGCGGATTTTTTTTTTTGGAGGTTGGTGCCTGGTCAGCGTTGGAGGCCATGCTGCAGGGCCTGTCGTGGCTGCGGCTGAGCAAGCGCCCATCTACAGCCTCCAGGAGGGAACCCCCACACCACCTCTGCAAAGATGCCACCAACACCACACATCACACTCAACACAACCGAAGGCGGGCACGTTTATCCCAATCCGACCCTCCCTGTCGATTGGTGTTGGCACCTCAGCTTCGAACGCGCCTAAATACAGCAGAACTAGGCATGATACCTACCTCTACTCACTCACGCTCCTCTCGCCGGCCTCGTGATGAAAAGTGTAATGCATCTTTATGCCAGGACGTGCTTGATGACGCATCATTCAAGCGCATGTCCCAAACGGCGTTTCAATCTTCCAAATCCCTCATCCCACTGTCCAAACACTCGCCCACTAGCCCAAAGATCATTCGGATGGTGTGACCAAGGAAGGTCCTTGTTTGTCTAATGCTACGACTCATCTGCTCAACCTTAGCAGCACCACACAAACAACCGAAAAAAAAGAAACCGATACGGAGCGAGTTCCCCCTCGTATTTTTTTTCGGACGGCCTGCCCGTCGATTCGCTTTCCCGAACGCCGCTTCCCGGCCGCCTTCTGAAACGACATCCAAGGTGCACACGCCACGTCCCGCCATCATAAGAAGCGATAGCATTAAGCAAGTTTCTGGATATGGCCAAACACCCAAGACCACGTCGTCTGATTGTTTTTTTTTATTACTTCTTTTTAAGTTGGCCACGAGATGCAGCTGCAATCCTTTATTGCCGACGTCAAGACTCGTCAGCTTGTTCTTAGGAGGGGTCTGGTAGTGCGCCGATGTCTGCGGTCGCCTCCCGTGCTCCCCTCTGGTTTCGCGGTGCCGAGGAGCCTGATGTCGAGCAGGCAAGCTGCAGCGGCGCCTGCGACTCGCCGCTCTTTGCGTCGAAGGCTATCCTCGCCAAGCAGCTTCTTTTCGTCATGTCAGTTGTGTATTCCGGTCGCATGGCGCTTATGCTAGCGAGATGCTTCCCTGGACCGTGCCGCCATAGGCTTCCCCTGGCTAGAGGGGTTAGTCTGCTGTTTGGCCAAAAAAAAAAACGCATATGAAGTTCAATGTTCGTGTCAAGCGCCTTTACCCCGCAGGCCGCGCCAGCCGCTTGCTTACCGTAGGCATCGTTGCCGTCGAAGACATCAGTAATATCGAACTCTAGAATTGTAAGCCCCGTGCCGATGTCAAGACTCGGCGGCCGCTCCCGTCCTGAGAAACGCCGCGGCGGCTCTTCGACAAGAACTTGGCAACGGGCTGTAGCATTTCTGAAGCCGGCATAGATGAAACTCGATCTCCTCCCGGCCGACCCGGGTCGGCTTGACCAAGGCTGCCGCCGTCGGTGCCGCCCGCATCACCCGTCACACGGTGCAACCGCTGAATCTGATCGAGGTGTTGTACGGTGCCTCGTCGATGTTGCCCTCTGGCGATGGTCAGTACGACGCTGTACGTAGGTTTCCGGGAGCACCGTTCCTGGAATGTACGTAGCAACACCTGACGCGTAGCGAAGCCCAATCTCGCTGTGTTTGTCTTGTGTGCGTGCAGCGGCCGTCTGTGCCACGCGCGGCACCTTGTGCACACTCTGGTGTAGGTAGTTCTCCATTATCATGGTCTGGGCAGCCGCCTCGAGAGCATCAGAGGGGGGCAGCGGATTCCCAAGCCACCAGGGGGAGCATAAGCCCCACGGTGGCACGCCTCCCAATCCAATAGATGGCAAAAGATGCCAGGCTCCCACCTGATCGGGGAACCACGGTAGAACCAAATAGCCCTGGTTTTGGGACAAGGAGATGTGGTGCCTTGATCTCCCGACGTCTGCTTGTGGAAGCCGAGCATGGCAGGTATTTTCCTCGTCCTAGCCACGAGAGACCACGGAACCGAGATCAGCACATCGTGTCGGTCACATATGAGGACTTTCCTCTTCGTCGCGCAGGATCCACTCGGCTTTTGGTACCAGATATGGGTCTCGCTCGACCTCGGCGTTCGGACTAAAGGTCGAGTTACCATGCTGTTCAACTCGCGAGGAGTATCTGCGCATGCTGCCTATAGATTCAAAGTGATGAGCCCCCGGGACCACATCTACGTTTTGTTTGGTCACCCATCATCTAAGCCACCACCCCGGCGAAATCTCCAATCGTCAAAAATCCCATAGAATACAGTCCTAAGGCCTTTGGTTCCTTTTCCAAGCAGTCCTCTGCATGCGACTATGGTCAGAAATATCATACGCTTTGCTCTGGTCGACGCGCATGTCCCTACTCGCCGCGCCGTGTGGTAGTGGCTCCAGCTCATAGACCGGGCCGGCACTGCTGCCATCGTGTACGGCTTCCGAGCTTCCCAGGCGTGAGGCTTTGGCGGCCTGCGGTATGGGGGACAGGCAGCCCAAGGTTTGGTGGTTTGAGCCTGTCGATTGGTGGCCGGTGGCGGTGCTGGCCGTCGTCGCCCCCTTGAGTTTACCCCCGTTCTGTACGGCGCTGGAGTTCGGGAACAGGATGCGCAAATACGGGCGGAGCGGCGGCAGGCAGGCGATGATCAGACAGATGTAGAGGTCGACGGCGGAATAAAAGTCTGGACACAGGGACACCGATCAGAATGGGAAGGTCTCGGGGCTTCGGGAGGCTAGGGACTGCGGCACGAGACATACTCAAAGCCGCCAAGGTGATGGTCGACAGAGTCAGCTGGACCAGGAGGAAGCGCAGCCCCAAACAGACGCCGATGTCGATAATACCAAGGCCAAACGTGACGTAGAGGCTGACCTTGACCGACCTCGCCATTTGTTTGCCCTGCCGCAGAACCGGAAAGGGCAGAATAAAAACTGGGTTCTTGGTCAGAGTCTGTTCGTCCACAGCGTGGTGTGTTGGAGAGGATGCGTCCATACTCAAGACGTCGGACACAAAATGGACAGACCACAAGATCTGAAAAGTCCGTATCGATGGGCATATATTTTCCGGGTTGAAAGACCTGGAGTTGGTTAGCCAAGCGCGCGTGGCAGCCCTAACAGGGTTGGAGGCGATTACCAGTTGCGTGATATTGGAAGACACGACAAAGCGAGGACCAGAACGGTCACAATGCACCCGCTAACGGTAAATGCTATGGTCCCATACAGCGCATATCTCTCGTAGATAAATTGGCGAGGAAACATGTCCAGATAGAGGCCAAGGATGGCGAATTTGCAAATGTAAAAGCCGACGTAGAAGGGGTAGCCGGAGAAGTACCAATACTGCCGGACGGGCGTGTTAGTCGCCTATCTTGCGTGCCCACCAGACCGAGCTGGCGTACCTTGGTGAAAGACTCGTAGTCTTCCGTGCTGCCCTCGTAGTTCTCAAACGACGGCATGAGGTCTGCGGGCCAGCCTAGGCGGAGCGCATACACGTCGACAGACGACGTGACAAGCGCGCACAGCCAGGAGAGGAGGATGAGGTAGTCGCTGAAATTGGGCAGCCTGCGCTGAATGTTGAATCTGAGGTGGAAACGGGCGCAGATAAGGACCAGCGCGACGAATGCCAGCATGCTCTGGAGCGCCTGTCGGACAATAAACACATCAGCCAAAGATAGGAACACCAGCCGCGCAGGTCGTATACTAACAATGCTTGCCTCAAATGTGAACGAGGCCATGGCATGTCGGCTGGGACCATACGTCCGTATGCCTCCGGGTCTGCAGGACTTTTTTTCGCGGAAGCTGTTGCTGCTAGCAGGCGTTGACCAGCCAGTAAGAGAGACCTAGGGGAGAGAGATCGTAGACTAGGGGGGTTAAGTTTATCTACAAACACGGGCACGCGCAGTGTGACGGCCCCTCCGGGGGTGGAAGCCATCGCCCCAAGACACCGCAACTCCTCGGCAAAGGCCACCAAAAGGAGGATTTCCTATCGCAGAACGTGGCTGATGTCACGCCCGCCGATCGTCGCTGCTAATCTCATGGTGCCACACTTCCGGCAGGTGAGGGGGGAGGGGAACAAGAAGGAGAAGTAAGAAAGGAAACAAAGGGGCCGGACCAGGCTTGACAGGAAAGAAAAGGCGGCTTTTGCAGTGTGCTATCATCAAAGGATGCCATTGTGTCGGGACGCTAGGCCCAAAGGACTGGCAAAAGCAACTTGCCGCCCAGCCAGGACCGCGCTATGAAATAAGCGCCAGCAGCCAGGCCCCCGCGGGGATGATCCGGCGCACACAGGTCGAAGCCATTGCGCACAGATTCAGCAATCAGCCGGTTGGTCTGGAGGTCTCTCCGATGGGGCTGAGAATCCCCGTCACTCTAGGGCCAGCCATGCAGCTAGCCCAGACGGGAGCACTGGGAGGTAAGACCGACGCCGCAACGGCGAAAAAAAAGGTAACTTGACCGGAAACCCGGCGCTGCATCAACGTCCCAGAATAGAAATATATGCGCCGGCAAATGGCGGCGAGCAGGAGGACAGCTGCGCCTGGCGCGAACTGCTCATACGGTAACCCGGCGACGCCTCCATCCTCCAACCCCTAGGTGCGTGGGAAGCCCCCCGGCTCGTCGCTACGACCATTGACAAGGGAGTGCCCCTTATACCCGAACAAAGGCGGCCTTGAAATTGAAAGCAGCTGACACGGAGAACCACGGGGCTGGGGCTTCGCTGGCTGTTGGCTGATACCGGCACGACTGGCATAGCTTTCAGCTTGTGGTCTTGTTGCTTATGCTGGAACCGGCGCGAAGGTAAAAAGAAAGAAAAAAATCACGGAAGTAACAAAACGACAAAGCCAGTCGTCACACAGGAGCCATGGCGCCACCGAAACTAGCGCAACCAGGTCGGCGAGCCCATCTCAGCAGCAACGGGGAAACTTGATCCTGAGGTTTGTAGCGTAAACTATACTCGACATTATTTCATTACTCTTCAAGTACGAACTACCTAGCTAAGTATCTGAGCAACAGCACCAGACTAACAGCACCTAAAATCAGCCTACACGACCTCGATGATGGGCGTCGTCCACACGTGCCAGTTGTCCGAGGCGCGCGGGTTCCCAAACGGCAGCAGCGCCGCGATGCGCATGGCATACCTGCCCGGCCTGATCCTCGACCCGTCGGCCAGCTTGCCAAGCCAGATGCCCTGGAACGGCACGTCGCGCGGGAGGTTGTGGACGGGGAAGGCCCACGTGTTGTTGACGTCGACCTGGTCCGGGTCGATTACGTTGCCCGGTGGGCTGGTGCGGTAGTCGAAGCTGGTGGCCGAGCCGACGAACTTGGCCTGGCCGGCCACGGGCGGGTACGACCACTCGCGCTCCTTGAAGTCGGGCTCGAACAGGTCCCAGCGCAGCTCGCGCGTGCCGTAGCGCAGGATGGCGCGCATCTTGGGGAAGTCCTGGCTGGCCAGCGACGTGTTGAAGGTCCACGCGCTGCGGTTGGCGAGCGGCGCGTTTGTGAGCCCCGACACGATCCGCGGGTAGTTGTTCTGCGTGTAGTACATGTCGGGGATATTGCGCTTGAGGTCAGCGGCGACGCCGGCGTAGGGCACCGAGAGCTCGTCGCCGTTGCTGCCGCTGATGAGCACCTTGCCGCTGTACACTGGCAGGCGGGCCTCGTTGAGGCCCTCGAGCGGCTGGAAGTTGAACTGCGCCCGCTTCGTCTGCCCCGGCGCCACGACGAAGCGGCCCTGCGGCAGGCTGACCTCGGGCCGGAGCCGGATGGGCACTAGCTCGTCGATGTCCTTGATGCGCGGCGCGAACTGCGCGTCGGTCGCCTCGACCCACTGCGTCTCGAACCCGGCGGCGTCCTGGACGGCGAAGCGGTACTCGACCTCGGCGGGGCCGTTGTTGGTGATGTCGACGCTGTGGTAGCGCGAAAAGTGGCGCGTGTCGTTGAGCGCGAACTTGGGCGCCGTCATGCTGGTCGTGTAGTTCAGCACGGCCACGGCGTCGATCAGGCCCGTGCCGACCTGGAGGGGCGGCGCGAAGAAGCCAAAGTTCTTGTTGTTGGCGTCGGTGTACTCGACCGACCGGCCCGAGTTCATGATGCGCGCCTGCAGCGCCCGCGCGAAGCCGCGCCCGTGGACGCTGCGGCCGCCGAACTTGCCGATGTAGAGCGCGGCGATGCCCGAGATGTAGGGCGTCGCCATGCTGGTTCCGCTGGCCTCGGCGAAGCGGTTGCCCGGGTACGTGGACAGGATGTTACCGCCCGGGGCGGCGATGTCGGGCTTGAGCGACATGTCGTAGGTGGGACCCCACGATGTGAACTGCGAGGGCTTGCCGCCGGTCGCGCTGTACATGCCGACGTAGCCGTTACTGGCGTCCAGCGAGAAGTCGGCCGTGACGTTGCCGCCCGCCAGGATGGTGTCGATGATGGCCTTGCCGGCCGTGTTGGTGATCATGGCCTTGTCGCTCTGCGACCAGCCGACAGTGGAGAAGCTCGCAATTTTGCCGTCCTCCATGTACATGAGGATATGTTTTGCACCGCGCTGGTTTGCGTGGCCCTCCTTGACCGAGTCCTGGCAACCGCCGAGCCGGATCAGCGGGATGACTCCCGTCAGGTTCAGGCTCTCGGGGAAGGGCTGGCAGGCGTCGTTCTCCACGCTCGAGTTGAGCGTGATGGGCACAATCGGGACGCCGACGACGGTCGAAGGAAACAGCCTAAAGTCGGCGCGGTACCCCAGCACGGTGCGGTTGGAGTGGCCATCGAGGTTGAAGGTGGCCGCCCAGGGGCGCCCGCGAGCCATGGTAGAGTCGATAGATGCGACCGAGACCACGTCTGGGGACGACGCGCCTGAGCTCATCTGCCAAGGGCCCAGGTTTCCGTCGTTTCCGGCAGCGATGACGACGACAATGCCCTCGTCAACGATGCGCCGCGATACCTCCCCCCACGCCGTCTCGGCCCAGCCACCAGCACTGCCCACGCTGGCGGAAATAACGTCGACACCGTCCTCGTATGCCTTGAGAAAAGCCTCGATGATGGTCTCCTCGTCCGTGCCGCCATTGGCAAAGATCTTGTAAGCATGCAGAGTGGCCTCGGGAGCGACACCTTGCAGGTTGTCGCTCTTGCCCGCGATGATGCCGGCAACGTGGGTGCCGTGGCCCTGTTGGTCCATGGGATCTGCGTCCGGGATCTTAGCGTTGCCAGGGAACGGCCAGTTGGTGTTGTCGCCGACAAAGTCGTATCCGCGGGCAACCTTGCAGCCCTCGCCAAAGCAGCCACCGAGGTTGCGGTGGTTGTAGTCGACGCCCGTGTCGACGACGGCGACCTTGGCACCCTTGCCGAAGATGCCCTGCTTGTGCAGCCGGTCTACGCCCGTCATGTCGTGGATGAAGTAGTCGGGCGCGGCCGCGTCGTCGCTGAAGCTCCTGCCCTCGACCACGGGCGGCAGCTCGATGCGGGTGGCGTGCCAGGCACGCACGACGGCAGCCAGGGCCTGCAGGGAGTCGGTGTTGAGGCTGTCGGTCTCGACCGAGATGCCCTTGAACACGGCTGAGTCGAAGACCTTGGTGACGCGGCAGCCGGGCCTTGACTCGATGTCGCGGATGACGCCGTCCTTGTCGGAGCCCTGGTCGAGCTCGACGATGAACTTCTTGGCCGTGATGGCCGTCTCGTTGCCGGCCGCGCCGTCGACGTCGCGGCGGAAGGACCGGGCGCTGGCGAGGCCGCTCAGCGCGAGCAGCGCGGGAACGAAGCCTGTGACCCTCATCCTGTCTGGTTGGCGTGGCGGACTGGGGCTTCCGACAAACTCCTGCTGAGAGTCCTAGGGATCATGGCTTCGACTAGACTACGCTCACAGGCGCGCCCTTTATATATATCTCTATATGCCAAAACATATCACGACGTTGCGCCCCGCCTTCCCAGCAAGAATAAGGAGAGGCCGGAAGTGGGTGGTAGTCGACGGGGCAATTTCGTATTCAGGATCGCGACGTGCCGGCTATGCGCAATTAGGCAGGTGGACGAGTCGTTGGTGGAGGCTTGACCCCTGCCATTCTCGTGATGTCCCGGCTCGCTGCATGAACATGGCCGGCTGCGGGCCTCTACTACCCCAGTACCCCCACCGCCCAGCCGGGTCGACAGCCAGGTCGGGGCCGACTGTGGAAATCTCTTATAAATAGTCGCCGGGGGTTTCTGACCGTGGCCGGCATACTGGCGGAGGGGTTGAAGGATCGCGACACCTGATATATTGCTCGATAAAGTCGGTGTCGCTGAAAACCAAAGCTCCAGGATGGATGCATGTCTCCAACTCGATATTGCAATTTGTAGATTCCACTTGGGAATGAGGTCAAGGATGTGGTCGCAGGTACGAGAAAAAGTAATCTGAGTTGGACAGGGTGTTCAAGGGGTTGAAGCTGGGGACGCCTGACAGACTGGGAAGGTCCGAGGCCTGGTGTTCTGGTGTTCTTGTCACCTTGTCTGTGTCCAGCCGGCTTCTTCCATCAAGTTTGCGTCCAAGTTGGAACACAGTGCCGTTCCCATGCTCTCCTCACGATGATGATGCTTTTGCTTTTTCGGCGGGGATGAAGCTCCGCTGAGCATTGACCACAAGTGCCCCACTGACGCAGCCTCTGCGTCCTCCAGCAGGAAAGCTACTGTGTATGTGAGATTTGAGGACGCTCCTTGCGATCCAGGAAAGCCCAAACCAACTCGACCATGGCTGCTCGCTCCTCACAGCGATGCGCATCCAGCCTAGCCAGAGCGCCAACCTTCATAAATCTATTGGCCGTTGGGAGGCCGGCTCTGCGACCATCGAGGACTCTTGTGCAGTCTATCCCCGCCACGGCCTCGACCCGCCCACGATACTTTTCGAGCAACACTGAGAGCTCGCCCCTTCCCGCAGCCAATTCTAACAGCGATGCACCCAAGGTAGATGCGCCTTTAGAGAATGTCGAGCAGGATGGACTGTCAGAAAGAGCAAACGAGGAGTGGTCGGAGGACTCGGAGCCTTCGGAATCGAAGGCCACCCCCGTCGATGGGGTAGAGGTCGATGCTCCCACCACAGAAGCAGACGCCGCCGCCCCAGCCCCTACTAGTACATCTTCCTCCACACCCTGGTACCTCGACGTCGAGCCGCCGCGCCACCCCACCCTAGTGCCGCACCAGGCGCCCCTCCCCGCGACGCCCGAGGACTCGCCCAGCCTCACGGAGCCGCTTATCAAGTTCGTGGGCGAGGAGCTCGGGCTCGACGACCTCAACCTGCTCGACCTGCGCTCGCTGGACCCGCCGCCGGCCCTGGGGCCCAAGCTGATCATGCTGTTCGGCACGGCCCGCAGCGAGCGCCACCTGCACGTGTCGGCCGACCGGCTCGTGCGATGGCTGCGAAAGCACGGCGTCACGGCCCACGCCGACGGCCTGCTGGGCCGCAACGAGCTCAAGATCAAGATGCGCCGCCGTGCCCGCCGCGCCAAGCTCGTCGGCGACTCTTCCTTCGACAGGGGCGACGACGGCATCAGCACCGGCTGGATCTGCGTCAACCTCGGCACCCTCGGCTGGAACCCCGACCCCACCGCTGAGACCACGTTGGTGGACGACCAGGGCCGGCCCAGCGGCTTTGGTCAGCCCATCTCGGGCACCACCATTGTCGTTCAGATGCTCACCGAGGCCAAACGCGAGGATCTTGGCCTCGAGAGGCTGTGGGGCGGCGTGTTGAAGAAGAGCAACAGGGACAGGGAGGCTATCGAGCCCCGTGACAACACTGGTGCTCTCACTGGTGCTCTCAAGTCTCCAGAAAAGCCCCGGAAGCGGCGTCCGGGGCAGTTCCCTGACTTTGACCCAGCACAGCCCCGCAGCTATAGCACAGCGGTGAGGGTGAGGGACAGTATGCCCCTGGAAGAACTTTTCAAGACGGATCGTGCGGCCTTCTCGCATGAACTGTCATACAGTCCCCAGCGGAAGCTGGAGCTCATGAACAAGATCAGAGCTTTCGCCGACGAGGCGCCCGTCAGGGACGCGCAGTACGCGGCAAAGCTGTCCTCTCTTGTCAATATCGCCGTGTCAGGTCTCCCGCCGGCTGATACCTGGTCCTTCCGTTCCTTCATTACGTCCCACACAATGCAGATCCGGGCGGTCAGCGACGACGCTTTCGCCGAGATGCGCCAGCTGGTGTCAGAGGCTCAGATGGTGGGCATCCCCATCGCCCGCGACGACGCCCTGCGCATCCTACGCTCGATATTCGCAACGCCAGAAATCAAGAGCAAGGACGGCGACGATGGCCCCGCCCCGACATTTCTGCACGAGCGTGCCGAGTTGGCCGCGGAGCTGCTGCAGACCATGCACGAGCGCGGCATGCCCGTCCTGGCCAATGACGTCATAACATCCCTACAGAGCGGCCTCGCCGGCCCCGTCGCACACGACAGGACCAAGCCCCGGACCGACAACACACTTGTCGACGGCCAGCAGCAGGAGGGGCCGACGCCGGCAACTCCCCGTGCGCTCCGCGACGGCCTAGAGGACCTGCGGGCGCTGAGCGGCCTGCCGTGTCCGCCCGAGGCGGAGATTCAGGCGCTGATGGGGGCGCGGTCGGCGGCGGGAGACTTTGCGGGCTTCTGGGAAGCGTGGCGGCTGCCGGGGCGCCACGGGGCGCCGCGCTCCCCGGACCTTTACTGGTGGCTGTTCCGGCACGCGGCCGACCTGGGCCGCCCCGACGTGGCGCTCGAGGCGCTGCGCACCGCCGTGCCCCAGGCGCTGGCCGAGGCACCCGAGCCCGTCAGGTTCACCGGCACCCTGGGCGGCGCCGTCTGGGACTGCATGGCCGTGCTCGACCCGCGCGCCCGCCAGCGCCGCGTCCCCGAGATCGACGCCGCCGCCGAGTCCAGGCCCGACGCCGAGATATTGAGGATGATGAGGATGTTGGCCCTGTGAGGAGTGTCACGGACAAAACACACGACGAGCTGGTTGTACCATATGTATATGAATTCATGTAAAAGGAGAACCGTGTAGCCGCCTCGCCTTGAGCAGGTAGCTCTACAGTTTATTGCAGTTCATTGAGGACTGCTGGCATGCATACTGCCGAGTCGCACGGACGCATCAGGTCTCGGAATACTGACACGGCAAAACAAAAACAAAAGAATGACAACGACCGACCGTGGTCTAATCTTTGTGTCTGAGACCTTGCCCGAGGAATAAAGGAAAAATGAAACCAGAAGCCTCCGGCTGGATCGACGAGAAACTGCCCAACACCAACATATCGACACAATGGACTCCCAACAAGCACAAAAACGAAATAGTGACCCGACCTCCGCCTCATGGGGCCAGGAGCGACCTCAAGAAGAAGTTCCAGCCCCAGCAATAGCCACGAAAACCATAGCTCCGTTGCTCCCCACTATCGGCCCCTATCCCCGGGTCCTACCGCACACAAGGCCACAGCCAGGATATGCGATGACGTAGAAACACGCGGGGGCCGAGCGCAAGTCGGGACGAAAGCCATGACGCCATGACAAAGCCGACAGCCTACTAGTCGTGCGACTGCACCTTGTTGTCGCCAGCTACGACCTGCGCGTAGCTGGGCGGCGCGGCGCCGTCGCTGGAGCCCTCTCCCGCGCCGGCCTGCTGCTGCTGCTGCTGCTGCTGCTGCTGCGGGTTCTGGCCGCCGCTGGCGGCGGTGGTGCCGTACGTCCTGCTGTTATTGTTGTCGCCCGAAGGCTTGGGGGCCCGCTGCGACTGGTACTGGGCGTTGTGCTGGCCGGGCCCGTGGACGAAGACGTACGTGACGCGCTCCGAGTCCTGGGGGACGCCCTGGTAGTCGTAGTCGGGCTCGGGATAGTTGGCGATGATGTACCACGCGTGGAGGAGGCCGGGGAGCTGATGGGGTGGTGTGGTTGGGTTAGCGGGGATGTGTTCAAAGTCGTTGGTCAAGGTGCGAGATGACGTACGAAGCCCAGCATGCAGAGCAGGATGTTGATCAAGGAGTCGGCAGAGCAGATTCCCCTCTTTACCCAGACTGTTGCACGTTAACGTTGTGTTGGTTAGCAGCTATTACAATAGTATAACGGAGATAGCCTAGCTGGAACATGAAACCATCGTGAGCAGGCGAGATGGCTGCCTGGAGGCGACTTACCCGGCAGTGGTGGGAAGAGGATGGCGAGCAGGCCGAGGAAGACGTCGGCGGAACACATGGTCGCGGATCGCAGGCCGTGGTGTTGTAGGGTGAAAGATAGGCGGTGCAGTATTTCGTGTTTTTGGTTGGATAGGTTGTGAAAAGGCCGGCGTGAAGTGTTGAAGAAAGTCTATGTTATGATGCTGTTTGGTCGAGTCGGCCTGCTTCTAGTAAACGGGGCGGACGATTGAGGGGAAACGGAGACGGGAATTGGAGCGCGTGCATTACATGCAGCTGGAGCCCACGACAGCCCCAGTCAGGCGACCGGTGGCGGAGTTTGGTTGCGTAATGGCGGAGCAATTTTGGGGCGAGGATCACGTGTCGTCTATTTGCCTGAGGTCCCGCCGGGCTCTTTTTATAGCTTGTCCATGCTTCCTACCCCCGTCTTTGTACCAGCCAGTGAATGGAAACGTAACTCGTTTAGATCCCTTATAAATTAGTGTGAAAGATTGAAGAGAATGCGCATGGAGGCACTCGGTAGGAACTTGGACGAGTTATCGTGTTAATGTCTAGAGATTTGGTTGATCGATTACAAAGAAAGCGCTGGGGTTACGCTGAGTGAAATATCATAACCAATGTGGGTAGGGCCGGCACTCCTGTATTGTTTGCACGTCTTCTTCAAAAAGGCAAACGACAATCCTTTGTGTGTACAAGGTACTTACTCTCTTATCCTTGTGTTGGAAAGGTAAATAGAAGCAGGAAAACAACGCTGCACAGGCTCCGCTTCTGCACCTGATGGGTCTTCGGCCACCAACTGGGTGCATGCACAGGCGGTTCAATCCGAAAGCGACCCCGAAAGTCGCCGAGCCACTGGCATAAAACCCTTGGGGGCTTTTGATCGATGACTTTGCGAATTTAAACGTTCAACCTTGAGTCTCTTCAATTGCCCTTGCGCTGAGTTCCCACCTGCCACGTGCTGGACTCACCGCCTTCCTGTTCTGCAATTGCCGGCAGGGAATCGCCTCGCGCAGCCAACGCCTACAACTCGAGTCAATCGCGCCTTGCTGCTAACCGCTCCAACAACCTCTCAACAGCCGCATCCTGTCGCGAAAATGGAAGAACTCGAGGATCTGGAAGTCCTTTCCTTGGTGGTGCGTGTCGCCAAGGAAATGGACAACCATATGGGCATAAACGACACCGACGCCGCAGAATATGTCATCCACCAAAGGCTAGAATGCGACTCCTTGGAGGCCTTCAAGGCCAAGATGGCCGACGACCCTCTTACCGACACTCTCCTCGAGAGTATAGACCGCCTGGTCGTCACCATGCATCCCAAGATGAAGAAGGGCCGTCCAAACGCATCCGCACCCCCGACCACTGGCCGCACCCAGGAGGAGAAGGACCACATCTTCAAAGGCCTGGCCGTTGCCGACCAAGACGCCCCGACGCGACCCGACGACGACGGCGATGGGCCAGACGCCATCGACGACACCCTCGCCCTACTAGAGAACCTAGAGGGCAAGGCTGTCAAGGAGAGGCAAAACAACAAGAAGCGCGAAAGGTCGCGCAGTCCCGACAACGACGGCCGCCACCGCAGGAAGGAGCGCCACCGTTCCCGGTCACCGCTGCGGTCGCCCCGTGGCGGCGGCCGGTCTGGCCATGACCGTAAGAGCAGGAGAGAGCGCAAATACGATGACGATTCCGAGTCGGACCACGACGTGCCACGACGAGGGCGGGCCCCTGATCTTGACGACGCGCCGGTTCTCAACAAGGTCTACGAAGGCCATGTCACGGGCGTCAAGGACTTCGGCGCCTTTGTCAACCTCCACGGAGTTCGGGGCAAAGTCGACGGCCTGGTGCACGTGTCGGTCATGGCCGAGAGGGGGCGGGTCACGCACCCGTCAGATGTCGTGGACAAGGGCCAGCCAGTCAAAGTCAAGGTCGTCAAGATCGAAGGGAATAGGATAGGTCTTTCCATGAAGGACGTCGACCAGGAGACAGGCATGGACCTTGTGCCCCAGCCCGAGCTGCGCTTTCAGTCGGGCGCCAACTCGGAGGCGCTGGGGTCGAGGAACAGGTTGAGCAACGGCCTACTGCCACCCGAGGCGGGGCCCTCACTCGACAACATCAAGAACACGCTTCCTGGCAAACGGCACAAGAAGCGCATGACATCGCCAGAGCGCTGGGAGATCCGCCAGATGATAGCGTCTGGTGTCGCAAAAGCGTCCGACTACCCGGAGCTGGAGGAGGAGTACAATAACACGCTGACGGGCGAGGGCCAGATGGAGCTGGAGGAGGACGTCGACATCGAGATCCGTGAGGAGGAGCCCCCGTTCTTGGCCGGCCAGACGAGGCAGTCGCTGGAGCTGTCGCCCATCAGGGTCGTCAAGGCGCCCGACGGGTCGCTGAACCGCGCCGCCATGGCTGGCACATCGCTGGCGAAGGAGCGCAAGGAGATTCGCCAGCAGGAAGCCGAAGCCGCCAGGGGTGCCGAATCCAAGGTCGACCTGTCGGCGCAGTGGGAAGACCCGATGGCGGACCCGGAGAAGCGCAAGTTCGCGGCCGACATGCGCCGAGCCAACGCCCAGCCGCGACGCGACGACGCCGTCCCCGAATGGCGCCAGGCCATCCAGCCCAAGGACCAGTCGTTCGGCAAGCGCACCAACATGACCATCAAGCAGCAGCGCGAGTCGCTGCCCGTCTATGCCTTCCGCGACCAGCTTGTCAAGGCCGTGCGGGAGAACCAGATCATGATCGTTGTCGGCGAGACGGGGTCCGGAAAGACAACGCAGCTGACACAGTACCTGGCCGAGGCCGGTTTTTCCAACGACGGCGTTATTGGGTGCACCCAGCCTCGGCGTGTGGCCGCCATGTCGGTGGCCAAGCGCGTGTCGGAAGAGGTCGGGTGCGAGCTCGGCCAAGAGGTCGGATACACGATTCGGTTCGAGGACGTCACGTCGCCCAACACGAGGATAAAATACATGACGGACGGCATGCTGCAGCGAGAGGTGGTTATCGACCCGGACCTGAAACGGTACTCGGTCATCATGCTGGACGAGGCCCATGAAAGGACCATCGCCACCGACGTCCTGTTTGCTCTGCTGAAAAAGGCAATCAAGCGCCGCCCTGACCTGAAGATCATCGTCACCTCGGCCACGTTGGATGCTGACAAGTTCTCGGCTTACTTCAACGAGTGTCCCATCTTTACCATCCCTGGCCGAACATTCCCCGTCGAGATATTGTATTCGAGGGAGCCCGAAAGTGACTATCTGGACGCCGCCCTTGTCACAGTCATGCAGATCCACCTCACGGAGCCCCCTGGAGACATCCTGCTGTTCCTGACGGGTCAGGAGGAGATCGACACCAGCTGTGAAATCCTCTACGAACGCATGAAGGCGCTTGGACCGAACGTCCCTGAGCTGATCATTCTTCCTGTCTACTCGGCCCTCCCCAACGAGACCCAAAGCCGCATTTTCGACCCGGCACCGCCGGGGTGCCGAAAGGTTGTTATTGCAACCAACATTGCCGAGACATCCATCACGATCGATCACATCTACTATGTGGTGGACCCCGGCTTTGTCAAGCAGAATGCATATGACCCCAAGCTCGGCATGGACTCTCTGGTAGTTACGCCCATCTCCCAGGCCCAAGCCAACCAGCGGTCCGGCCGAGCTGGGCGGACAGGCCCTGGAAAGTGCTTCCGCCTCTACACCGAAACGGCGTTCCAGTCGGAAATGCTTCCCACCACGGTCCCTGAAATCCAACGGCAAAATCTGTCCAACACGATCCTGCTCCTAAAGGCTATGGGAATTAACGACCTGCTGCATTTCGACTTTATGGACCCTCCGCCCATCAACACCATGTTGACGGCGCTCGAGGAGCTATACGCACTGTCGGCTCTCGATGACGAGGGCCTTTTGACTCGCCTGGGCCGTAAAATGGCAGACTTCCCCATGGAACCGTCGCTCGCCAAGGTGCTCATCGCCGCAGTGGACATGCAGTGTTCGGATGAAATGCTCAGCATCGTGGCCATGCTCAACCTCCCAAACGTCTTCTACCGGCCCAAGGAGAAGCAGCAGCAGGCGGACGCGAAAAAGGCAAAGTTCCACGACCCCAACGGCGACCACCTCACGCTGCTGAACGTGTACAACGCCTGGAAGCAGTCGCGCTTCTCCAAGCCGTGGTGCCAGGAGAACTTTATCCAGTTCCGGGCCATGACGCGGGCGCGCGACGTGCGCAACCAGATTGAGAAGATCATGCAGCGCTACAAGCACCCGGTGCGCAGCTGCGGCAACGACACGAACCGGGTGCGGCAGGCGCTCTGCTCGGGCTTCTTCCGCAACGCGGCGCGTAAAGACCCGCAAGAGGGCTACCGGACCCTGATCGAGGGCACGCCCGTGTACCTGCACCCGTCGTCGGCGCTGTTCGGCAAGCACGCCGAGTGGGTCATCTACCACACGCTCGTGCTGACCACCAAGGAGTACATGCACTGCACCACGTCCATCGAGCCAAAGTGGTTGGTGGACGCGGCGCCCACCTTCTTCAAGGTGTCGCCGGCCAACAAGCTGTCCAAGCGCCGCAAGCAGGAGCGCATCCAGCCCCTGTACAACAAGTTCGAGGGCGAAAACGACTGGCGCCTCAGCGCCCAGCGCAGGGCCGGCCGGTCTGGAGGCGGCGGTGGCACGTGGGGTTAGGTTGGTGGATGTGTTGGGTTCACGGTTGGTTCGTTGGTTGTTGTTTTGATAGTTTGAAATGGCCACAGAGGTGCTGCAGAGAATAATACCCGTCTTTGTGTTCTATCTTTACGTTCTATCTTTTATTTTCTCTAACGTCCCAATGGCGGCAGTGGGGGCTTTTTGGAATTCATGGTTATGATGATCGTGAGTAAGGAGTGAAGAAGCGTTAGGGAAAGGAAAAGGATTTTGATAAAGAATTCGATGAAGAAGTATTAGGGAAGAGAAAGGGATGTTGATGAAGAATTCAGTGAAGAAGGAGGAGAAGTTAAAGATCAGGCCAGGTGTTATTGAAAGAGCCAGATGCCATTTTGGAACCATCAAACCCCTCCCAAAGTTACCCTGTTGTCAAATCCACCAAACTCCCAAGCAAGCCGGAATCCGGACCCCCGTACTTAAACGTCACCCTCACCACCCTGGTAGACCTCCATGAAGGGTCCAGACCAGGCCTTGCCGCCCGGGTTGTCGACGGAGCCGGGGTCGCGGTCGCACTCGACGGGCTCCTTGAAGCCGACCATGAGCTCCTGGGGCAGGAAATAATAAAAGGACGGCACGATGTCGATGAGCTGGGTGACAAACTTGAGGCGGAAGCGCGGGTGGTGCACCTCGGCCGTCTCGAGCCGCATCTTCATGCCGGGCCGCAGCCTGCTCGCGACCTGGTCGTGGTCAAAGATGAACTCCTCCAGTGGCGGCGGCGCGCCGTCTGCGTCGTCCTCGCCGTCCTCGCCGGCCCAGCCGTCCTCGATGACAGCCGGACACACGACGACCACGGCGGGCGCGCGGTGGGCGTCGGCGCCGGTGGCGCAGCCGTGGACGCCACGCAGGCTCCCGAAGATGAGGCGGGTCTCGTTGTCGGGCGCGCGCACCTCGACCACCTCGACTGTCTGCTCGCGCACGTCTACGCCCGTGACGGCGGCGGCCAGGGCGGCCAGGGACGGGTCGACCGAGGCCCAGCGGGCCATGTCGGTGCGGGCCTCGTCGTCGGCGCCGAAGGGGTTGAGCATGGCCACGGTGGCGCAGAAGACGAGGGGCCAGGAGATGCCGGCGGCGTCAACGGCCGGGTCGAGCGAGATGCGGTCGACCCAGGGCGAGGCCTGGTCGGCGAGCAGGTTGAAGACGGCGCGGCAGGCGTAGTTGAACTGGCCCATGCCCGCGGCCAGGGCGGCGCCGATGCCGGGCAGCTCCTTCTTGGCATCGAGGCAGACCTGGCGGGCGCGGGCCAGGTCGTCGGCGTGCTCGGGGCAGACGCCGTGGTGGGTCAGGTAGTTGAGCCAGTTGAGGATCAGGTCGATGCCCTGGGTGATGTATTCTGGGTCGCCGGCGACGTCGTGCGGGAGCGTGCGGGAACTTTTTTTTTTATCGGTTGCTTGTTGTCAGTGAAACGGGCAAGAAGGGCACAGAGACCAAAGTGCCGGCGGACTTACAGGAAGGACGACACAACACCGGTAAAGTCGACCTCCCAGCCGCCCTCGTCCTCGGGGTCATAGTAACGGCTGTCGTCGCCGCGGCGGTGGATGACGTCGTTGCTAGCCACAAGGCGCTGCTCCTGGGTGGTGAGAGGGTCGTCCTCGTTGGGTGTAACGCCGCAGAAGCCCTGGAACTGGCGCTGCGAGGTGTCGATGCCACCGAGGTTAAGGTAGCGGTTGAACATGTAGGTGCGGGTGGAGTCCAACCGGCGGCGGCCACGGAAGCGGCGGATGCTCTCCTCGATTCGCCTGTGCACAGCTTCTGGTTAGGCCGTCTCCCGCTGATAGGACATGCGTGTGCTTCCACATACTCGATGAAGGGGTACTTGTCGCTGCGTTGGCATCATGTCAGTGGTTTGGCCCGTGGCATAACAAGCCTGCCGGGCAACGGGGCGCAGCATATGGTGCCAGGGCGGGATCACTCACGGGTCATAGAGAATCAGCTCCTCCTGGTACTCGGCCGGAGTCATGGGAGGATCGGCAAAGTTCTCTGTGCAACACCGTGGGCGCGGTCAGCGAGGGAAGCCAAGGCAAGCTAGACCAGGGAGACGTTGAGGTCGAGACACAACACACACCCTCAAAGCCAGTGCCGCGGAACTTGTTCAGGGCCGTGGGGGCCCTGCTGTTCCTGTTGCGAGGCTTCTTCTTCTTCTTTTTTTTCTCGGCAACCGCGGTACCAGGCTCACCGCCGACCGTGGCCGCCGCGTCGAGCTTGGCATCTTCTGCAGCGCCTTCGGGAGCGGGTGGCGCCTCGCCCTGGCCGCTGTCCGAGGCCGGCGGGTTGGGGCCGCTATTGACGCTGGCGTTTTCGGGCCTGTTCTGGTTAGAGTTGCGGTGCTCCGCCTCAATGTCGACGCTAGCATCTGCAGAAGCACAGCCTCTCTGGATGCCGTCCTTGTCAGTTCCGGTCCCGTTTGCTGTCAGCTGGCCGTCACCTTCGGCACAGGGCTTCACGTTGTCGATGGAGTTGGCCATGGTGGGTTTGCTATACGGGATGCGAGTTTGAAGCAGCATGCAAAAGACCTTGTTATTGTTGTTGTAGATGCAGAGGTGGAGGTCGAGCAGGTCCAGGGTTGTGGTTTTTGAAAGTCTTGGTGGCTTTGGTCGACTTGGTTGTGGAAGGAACGGTTTTGTGGCAGGCGCTCCTTCCAAGATTGGGTAGAGAAAGGCTCGTGCTTTTGACAAACGACGTTCAACAAACAGCAAGTCACTTCAAGCTGGGAACTCTGACAGGCAGGAGTCAGTTCAAGCCCATTTTCATGTTACGGCCAAGACTCTATGCCAGTCAACTGGCAGGTACCTAGATCTCTTCTCGGAATAACACCTGTTCTTGATACCTTCTTGACGTAGATTCCTGCACCGGGAGTACCAAATTGGGCGAGCCGCAATATATTGCTCTGTCGACAAGAACCCAACTCTACACGAGCTTGTGAAATATGCACACAAAGAACACGGTGAACTTGACTATGGACTAGCTAGCCAACCAAGCTTGGGACCGGACGCTTGTCGGGATCATCGCCAGATGGCGGAGGCGCGGTGCATCAACATGTCGACGGGTGCGCGATATTGCACCCTGGCCTACGCCCGTTTGCCTGACCATAGATGGATCGAGGTTGGCTCTGCCGACCAACGAATCGTAAAGCGGATACAGACAAGCACTCGGAGCGAGGCTATGCAAAGACTAGGGCGCCACTTTGCCCACGCGCTTGTCTGAGACTCATGCATCTAGCCGAGCTGCCATGCCACTCTAGGAACTGTGACAAACGACTACGTTTGCCTGGTGTCGGTGAGGCGACAACCCAGCCCTGATATTACCCCTCTTTCGAAGATGATGAAAGGGGTTAGGTGACAAGAGAAGACAACGATCCCGGATGACTGTCTCCGGGGTCTAGGCAGAGGCTCCGACAACCAGCCTCCCAGCTGAACAAATGGTCTTGGGTCAATATAGGGCCAAGCGGCAAGCACACGGAAGGGCACGTGGAAGGGCACATGGATAGCCTAGTATGGGTAATAGGATACGACCATGCATGCATAGGTGCAACTGGAGACCTGTCACTTGGACCTGCCATCACACGCGCTATTCGCGCTGAAACATGCCCACCTTGTGAGCGGGCCACCACGTTGCCCTCGAGGCCATCTGGAGGGAAAGAGAGACGACGCCCCATGCAGCAAATCACACAAAGCATCGCACTCGGACGCACGATCGAGCCGGTCAGACGGGAGATCCGGGGATGACTATTGGGTCGATTTCCAGCCCGGGACCACCTGGGATTCCGTCATCCAAGAGGCACGCATCTCAGTGCGTGCTGATGCGCATTCGGGCCGCGAGACCCGCTGGAGTGTCCCCGACTTGCCATACATACACAGGGTGCAGGGTGAGAATTGCATGTCTTTTTCTCTCTTTCTCGCATTGGATTTGGACCAAGTGCATGAGTTGGGTGCTGCGGACGCTGCGAGGGTCTTCGCGTCGTCGGGAAAGGCGACGACAGGGGTCCTGGCAGGCGGCGAGTGGCCAAGGCAGATTGGGCTGAGGGGCTGTGCCGGCAGGCGTGCGCCCGTCACTCTCCAGACCCCGCTCGACTTGGCTCACACCGCAACCGCACCGCCCCTCTCCTGACAGGCTTGTTCTTGTTGGTGCGAACGGGAGGAGGGCGTTTTGCGCGGGAGGGTGACTATCTAGCGTGCCTAGCTCCAGGGATGCAGCCGAGAGGCGTGCTCGCAGCTGTACCTTCATGGGCGCCTGTCCGTCTGATCCTTTGTTTGCCCCCTGACTGAAGGGAGGCGCCCAGCTCTGGCGCGGCAGACCGATCCGACCGCCAGGGCCGCCCCATTATTCCTCTCATCTGCGCCACCAAAACCTGTTCCCTTTACAAAACGACCCCCAAATCCTTTCGGTTTGCGGGACAAGAGGCATGGAGACATAAATAGGAGCTGCCAAATTCCGTTTGTTTCTCTTCACTGTCCTGTTTGGCCCTATCCGCCACCCGCCCTCATCCAGTCAGCCCCCAACCAGACACGGTGCAGGACCGCGTTCCAGGTTCCCACTCAGATCGCCACCAGCCCTGAATCGTGACGCCCATTCATTCGCGGGGCGCTTCCAGAAAACCCAAGCGTCAAATAACAACCCTGGGCGCGTCCAACCCTGATCGCAGAGTGCCACCTCTTTGGTGCCTGTCTCCATCGCCAGACTCGGCCGACCCAGCCCAAACCCTCCTCCTCTTCCGAGACAGCCCAAGCATATCCGGATTGGTCGCGTCGCACGAGCCAGAGCCAACGCAGGGCGCGGGGACGACACAAAGCCAAACTAGGCCTAGAAACATGGAGCGGAGGAAAATGCCAGAACACAAGGACCTGGTATCCTACAACCACGCCGTGGCCGGCCAGTCAGTGCCTCTCTCTCTCTCTCTCCGATGGCGGGATGGCGGGTCATGTCTGCCCGCCAGAGTCAAGAAGAAGAGAGAAAAACTTGTCCTAACTTGTGCTACCCCTCATCGTCACCAGTGCCGGCACCATGTGCGACCTGGATGGCGAACTGTTCGTCAAGCCGTGCCACCAGCAGGAGATAGACTTCTACGAGTCGGCCGAGAACGAGCACCCCGACTTTTACAGGTGGATGCCCCAGCACTTTGGCACGCTGCACCTCAACGCCGCCACCGACATCGCCGACCTTAACAAGCAGCTCGGCCCGGTGGCCGGGCTGATGACGGAACACATGAAGGAGGAGGTCGTCGAGTTCGCCCACACGTCGCACGTTACGGACTCGCCCGCCAGCGGGACCCCTGCCGCTTCGACCCCTGCGACCTCAACCTCGACCCCCGCCCCCGCGACCCCGGCTGAGCCCGCGGGCGACCCGAAGCAGCAGCAGCAGCAGGCGTCGCAGCCCGTCAGCATCTCGTCGCCGTGGGCGCCGGGCCGCAACACCAAGCTCAAGACGGAGACGTCCATCGTGCTGGACAACGCGGCGTACGGCTTCAGCGCGCCCAACATCATGGACTGCAAGCTCGGCACGCGGCTGTGGGCCGACGACGCGCCGGCCGAGAAGAAGAAGCGGTTCGACGCCATCGCGGCCGACACGACGCACCGCTCGCACGGCTTCCGCGTCGCGGGCATGCGCGCCTACAAAGGCTCGGCGGACCCGGCCGAGCTCGACGCCGAGGACTACCGCAAGTACGACAAGGACTGGGGCCGCTTCACCGTCACGGCCGCCAACATCGTCGAGTCGATGCGGCGCTTCGTCTTCAACCCGAGCGCGGGCGTGGCCGACGAGGACGCGAGGTTCGTGTGCGACCTGTTCCTCGAGGACCTCAAGGAGGTGGAGCGCATGCTGTCGCGCGAGGAGAGCCGCATGTACTCGGCCAGCCTGCTGTTTGTGGCCGAGGGCGACGGCGAGGCCCTGGCGCTGGCCATCCGCGAGGCCAAGGCTGCCGCGGCGGTGGCGTCTGCTGCCGCGGCCGCGGCCGAGGAGCGGGAGAACGGCGGCCGGCTTAGAAAGGCGGCCAAGACGTCCGAGGCGCAAAAGACACCCAACTTCTCGAGCAACCGCGTTGATAGTGGCATCGGCATGGGCGAAGACGACGTCGAGGTGTACACCGAGGGCGCCGTCGTGTCGGTGGACGAGCTGCTGGCGGGAGGCGGCGGCGACTCTGACGACTCTGGCGACGCAGATTCCGACGACGACGGCGACGGCAAGAGGCCCAAGGAGCGCAAGATCTATAGCCTCCGCCTCATCGACTTTGCGCACGCCGAGTGGGTGCCAGGCCAGGGCCCGGACGAGAACGTGCTCTTTGGCGTCCGGAGCTTGATCGACATCTTCAGGCAGATGAGCCAGAGCCCGGCCAAGGCGACCTCGTAGGCCGAACAAAAATACGTCTACCGCTACTAGCAGGGTGTTCTCATGCAGAAGATCCTGCTGAGACTGAGAGTAACAACAAGCCCGCTTTTGCTTTTTAGGTGTTCGTGGCTGCACAGCCTTGTATTCGACATGTTACCTTGGCTCTTGTTTATCTCCCTGCCGCCGCTGCTGTTCACGTATTCGGCGTTCACGCGCTGAGACGGCGGGATTTTACGAACATTTCATTGTCTTGTTTTCTTCTCTTCTATTTGTCCTTTTTCATATTCCCCAGTGGACATAGCAATCTGTACGTTGAGAGGCCGGTCTCTAGCTCAGGGCTCAGGGCTGGGTTGTTTCAAAAGCGCTGGATTTTCACAAGCTGGACGCGGCGAGACGGGCAAAGGGCCAGACAGACATGTTGATGACGATTTGCATTCAATACCCCCTTCTTCCATGTGCGCAGAGCTTTGTTGAATTTGCGGTGATATTCGGTTTATGGTCGGTCATTCATGGTCATTCTATTCTGGTCATGCGACGGGACAGAGTCGGCGACGAGATCCCGGTTGGCGGATGTGCGGCCCATGTCGCCCCACGAAATGTCACCTGCATAGCCGTCGCGCCGAAAGCAAATAGAAAAAGTAAAGAAAGAAAGCCCAGGCGCATTTTCCAATCTCAAAGAGACGCAATCGCAATCACGTCAGGCACCCGGCCCAAAGCCAACAGGATTTGCCCCACTTGCTAGCGCAGCGATGCGCGCATCTCCATCCCCAAGGTCCATTCCCAAGGGGGCGGCCATCTGATGTCAGTCGCCCCACCCGGATCCACAGCCGATTTGCAGACGCAGAGCTGTTGTCGAGCTTCAAGTTGGTGGTGGCTTTCAATTTCACGCCTTGTCGAATCGAGTAGGGTTGTTCGAAGGGAAAACAACATCCACCCCCCTCCAACAAAA